GTACCTGAGGCACACACAAACACTGAGGCAAATACTGTAGGAAAGGAAAAGTGTGTGCTTGCAAAAGAGAAAATGCAAATGGAAAGAACACTGAAGAGCTTTTTCAAAGACCACTCAAGAAAGGCTGTGATGGCCGGGAAGTGGTGGCACATGCCTTTAATCCCAGCACTCAGGAAGCAGAGGCCAGTGGATCTCTGTGAGTTCAAGGCCAGCCTGGTCTATAGAGCAAGTTCCAGTACAGCCAGGGCTACAGAGGGAAACCCTGTCTTTAAAATCAAACAAACAAACAAAAAAAAAACAGAAAGAAGAGAAAAGAAAAGAAAGAAGGAAGGAAGGAAAGAATGGGAAAGGAAAGAAAAAAAGAAAGAAGGAAAGAAAGAAAGAAAGAAAGAAAGAAAGAAAGAAAGAAAGAAAGGGGGAGAGAGGGAGGGAGGAGGCAGGCTGTGATGAAAATGAATATCATGCAATATGAGAGAAGCTTTCTTGGAGAATAGTTAACTTTTTATAATAGTATATATAGAGAGATCATTATATCTATCTCTAGAGATAGATATTATATAGAGATAGATATAATAATCTCTATTGCAATTAATTTAAAATCATTTATATATAAAGAAAAAATTTTAAATGCAGGCAAAGATTTTATCCAGGAATAGTTCATTTCAGTGTTATTTACTAAAAACATCAGATAGGAATTTGAGGCTAGTGTTGGAGAAATAGCTCAGCGGTTAAGAGCACTTTCTGTTTTTGCAAAGGACCTGGGTTTAGTTCTCAGCCCCCACAGGGCAGCTCACAATTCTAACTCCTGTTCCAGAAAAACTGATGCTGTCTTCTGATCTCCATGGACACTGCACACATGTAGTGAATTACATTCATATACATAAAATAAAAATAAATAAAAATTTTTAAAAATTAAGGCAATGTTTAGCATTTCAAGGAGCCTTCCACAAAATGGTGTTTGCTAGGAGCAGCTGGATGACATAATGAAAAACTGGTTATTTATAGCAATTGCTTATAAAATGGTTATTTTTCTTTAACACAATTGATTTCAAACCTGTTAAATGAGAAAAAAGATGCAGAAAATGGTGAAACCACATATTTGTGTGTGTATGTGTGTGTATGTGTATGTGTGGTACACACATGGCGAGGATTGAACCTGTGAAGATTTAGCCTGTGCATGCTAAAAAATCACTTTACCACGGACCTGTATCACTATCCTTAACACAAACCTTTTAAAGAACAAATATTGGGTTTAAAAGAGAAATTTTAATACTTCTTGGCTCTACAGTTCACTTGCAAGTTTTTCAAATTGTCATAAATTGGCAATGGCAAAAAAAAGTGTTCTCTTGTGGTCCTTTGGCATAATTTTATGGCATTTAATTCATATAGCACAAAATGTGTTGTTTGATTGCTAAGTCACTGATGAGGCTTATGATAAGTAGCAAGCTGCTTATAAAGTTGTGGAAGAGTGCAGTCACATATGGAGAGCAGAACCCAGAGAATCTGGGCTGCCTGGTTCCACTACCACCATAGTAACGGGTAGTAGAGGTGAGAGTCCCCTCACGGCAACGGAGAGCAGTGAGGCAAACAGGATTGTCTGTCACCCCCACCCCAGCACTGCAGCATCAAGCTGTGCACCATGCCAAAATGCAGGGTGCACCACCAAGGGTGCAGGGTGCGCTCGCAAAAGTGCAGGGTGCACCAGCAAGGGTGCAGGGTGCGCACGCAAGGGTGCAGGGTGCACCACGCAAGGGTGCAGGGTGCACCAGCAAGGGTGCAGGGTGCACCACACAAGGACGCAGGAGCCGCATGTGCAGCCTGAATGTTGGAGGGGAAGGGTGTTGGGGACAGCAGATGAGAATGGGACCAGCAGAGCTTCAATTCAAAGTAAGACAATAGCCGCTTCCTATGTCATCCACATCTATAGTCCTTTGTACTCATAGCATTCCCAAGAGTGAGTACAGATGACAGAAAGGATGGGGCAGGGCTCACAGAGCATGCTCTAAGTTTAGGACCAGCATTGCTGCTCATAACTCAGGTGAAGGTCTCCACTTACTATATACAGAGACCATATGGTGAACACCTCATGTGCAGACGGAAGTGATGGAGGTTATTCATAGCCAGGGTGTTCTCTCTCTCTCTCTCTCTCTCTCTCTCTCTCTCTCTCTCTCTCTCTCTCCGGAGAGCCTAGAGAGGCCAAGGTAAACTAGGTGATGAAGGTCAGAGCCCAGAGGCACAGCTACCTGCAGCTTCAATCCCTGATGCAGAGGTAGCATATCCACTCTCAATGATGAAGACAGCAGGACAGAGAAAAGAGTCATTTATCTGCCGTATCACCTATCAAGAAGAGAGCATGCAAACCGAGCAATAAGGAAAGAAGAGACCGAGTGGCAGGGCTTGCCTTCTGCCTGCTGAGAGATAACTGTGGGGGTTTTCATTACTGTCACTTTTTACTTAAAGATGCTTCTTTTCAGACATAATACAATAAGGCCCTGTTTTTCTCAACATAGCTTTGTATATTATTTCATAAATGATCACACTGAATTTTTTTAAAAAATACTTCATTTTTAATCTTCAATAAAAGTTTAGAAGTTTTTTTTGTTAGTCTACTGACTTCAAATACCTGTTAATGAAGCTGTTAAATAAGAAGTTTTAAAATTAAGTGTGAATTTGTGGCTATGCAGGGGTGACCTCAGACCCAGCATTGTTCAAGGGTTATCTCTAATTGAAAAGTTGAAAAATGGGCCAATCCTTTTCATTTTTCTGCTTGAAAAGCAAGCCTTAAATTTTTATACATTCCCCAGGGAAAACCTGGAATTTGAGAAGCACAATCATTTAAACAAATTTATAAAGCTGACAGAATCAAACCTCCTTGGGTTTGGAAGAGCTGAGACCTTCCCTCATCTTTCCTCCTAGAGGAGATGCTATGCTTTGAGAAGCAGGAGGGCTCGGCTGAACATACCTCCTATCTTTCCCAAGCTCAGGAGACTGTCAACTTTACAGCTCACACATTAACAGCCGCCGAACGCCCTCTACATGACATGATATCATTCTAAACCCTGATTTAAAAAATTAACTACATCTATCTATCTATCTATCTATCTATCTATCTATCTATCTATCCATCCATCCATCTATTTATCTTCTATCTATCTATCTATCTATCCATCCATCTATCTTCTATCTATCTATCTATCTATCTATCTATCTATCTATCTATCTAGTTAGTGTGGAGGGTTTGTGAGAGTACACTGGCCACAGCGCACATGGTACATGTGCGTGCATGTGTGTGTGTGCATGTGTATATGTGTGGGTACAATGAATGGGAATTGGTTTTATTCTCCACATGCGTGGAGGGGATCAGACTCGGGCTGTCAGGCTTGCAGCAAGCGCCTTTACCTGTTGAGGTATCTCAGCAGGTCCCTATATCTTTAACATTAAAATTACTATGGAAAAAAACAAGAATATTTAAAAGAAATGGCTGGGCGGTGGTGACACACGCCTTTAATTCCAGCACTTGGGAGGCAGAGGCAGGCGGATCTCTGTGAGAGTTTGAAGCCAGCCTGGTCTACAGAGCAAGTTCTAGGACAGCCATGACTGTAGAGAGAGATGCTATCTCAAAATACCGAAAAGAAAAAAAAGGAAAAAAAAAAAGAAAAGAAAGAAAAAGAAAGAAAGGGAAGGAACAGAAAGAGAGAGAGAGAGAAAGAAGGGAGGGAGGGACGGAGGGAAGAAATGAAATAAGCTATATGCTTAGCAATGAGGGATCAGTGCAGAGTATTGGCACCCTAGCTCTGTGAACATGGATGACCAACTAGGGACTAGATAGGTGTCACCAGTGAGTACAGGGGCCAGTGGTCAGCTAGGAGTCTGTTTGAGTCCCCATCCCACAATGCTCACGCATACACACAACCTTATAAAGAACCATGCACACCAAGGCTCTTCACCCCTATGTCCTCTGCTGTGCATTTCCTCTGAAACCTGAAACTTCACTATTTTGAACTCAAAACATCATAGATGAAGAAAGCAAAGTATGGGGTGGTTTACAAGAGGACACTCAACCAGCGACCCCCAGACAGAGCTCGGCACACCGAAGAGCCTGAGAAGCACAGTACTATCCAATTTGTTGCTTCAGTGAATACAGCACTTCCGATGTATGTAATTTTATGTGTAAACTGGATCTAGGTACTAAACCACAGATATACATCTATTAAACACATGCTGAATACAGATACCACGCTCGAGGTTTCCTTCCCATACTCCAAGGAAGCACCTTCCAGCCTCCAGGGCCTGTGGGAGAGAAACGGGCAGGACAGCTGTCATAGCTACAGCTGAGGACAGGCCCTGCTCCTGCATGGCGTCCCCCTCTCCCGGAGCACAGCATTTATTTCCTTCACACTTCTCTCCTCCCAAAGGACCCGAAGTGTCTCGCTTCTTTTCCTGGTTTTAACGCCCTTACTCCCTGCCCCAGCACACTCCATAGCGTAAGCTTCTTGAGAGCCAGGGTTTTGCCTGAGTTATTTCTAATTATCCAGAACCCAGAACAGAGCATCACATAGTAGGTATTCATCAAATCCTTATCAATAAACTTAGTTCTCCAGACTGCACAGTGTCCCCAGGCTCCCATCCCACGCTTTCATCTCTGTTGAGTTTTCTGTTTTTCCAGCTGGTAACAGGGTAGAAGCCCCACCACCCTGCAGGGAGCCAGCAATACTCTGTCCTACACCAAGAAAAACTTCTAAGCTCTAAAGAGGAGAATCCTGTCCTTTGCATAAAACACAAAACCAAAATGCCAAATGTAAGATTTAAAAATATGTAATGACAATATTTGAAAGAAATATTTGAGACTCATTTCTTTTTCTTAAAAAGTGGGGGATGGGGAGTCTTGTATGTCTATGCTGGACTGTCATTCTACAAAGCAAAGTGATTATTCTCCATCAACCATGTTAAGTTGCTGGAGTTTCTGTCCTGACAAAGAATTGGGAAAGGCATATAGGTACCTGATGGTTCTCCACACGTCGTAGCCGTCCAGAGGCTTGGTACCGTTGGTGCTTCCCCCAGCCAGATTCACCAGTGTTGGAAGCCAGTCCGAGATGTGAATCAGTTCCCGGCTCTTCACGCCTTTCTGTTTCAGCAAGGGGCTTGCCACAAAGCTCACTCCACGGATGCCTCCTTCCCACAGGGTCCATTTCCTTCCGCGGAGTGGCCAGTTGTTGCCCCCAGACAGAGTCTGCCCACCATTGTCTGAAACACAAAGAAGCCTTGGCATGAGCAGGTGAAAGATATCACAATGGAGTCACTTGTGTCAAGCCCTAACAGACAAAGATGTCACTGGAGAAGCTGAGGTTATGAAGGACTGGGGTGTCATATGCATATGCCACATGATGAGAACACGTCAGAACCACAGTCTTGGGGGTGGGAGCTTACTGTGACCTTATACAAGAATACTCCTGCAAGGACATCCATCCAATAATTGTCAACCTTAGACAAGTTCTGTTCTTGTTGCTCAACTCTGTGGCTAAGGACTATTACGTCAAAACAACTTACGCAATCTTCCTCCGCTTTCCTTTAAAACATCCCAGGTGCCAATCTCTTTAAAAGTGCCCAGAGTAGCAAGAAAACATGTTCCCATTGCGATGCTCCCTGCTCTCAGAGACTCATGACCTTTGAGATTCTATTTGGTAGTTAGGGGGATAAGGACAATGCTTCCTCTCTTTAAAGAAGTTAATTATGTGTGTGTGTGCCAGTGTGGGGGAGCAGGGGGCTTACAAATTCAGGTACCTGTGGAGGCCAGAAGAGGATGCCAGCTGGGGCTACAGGTGTGAGCCACCTCATGTGGGTGCTTTAACCTAACCAGGTCTTCTGTAAGAGCAGTACACATACTTAGAGGCTGAGCTACCTCTCCAAACACTAACGCTTCATTCCTCCTCAGCCTGTCTTGCCTTCCCATCTTTCGAAGTGGTAGCACTTTGCCTAAGGGTGGGGATGAGTGGTGTGGCCTAGTTACTGAAAAGTGGTCAGGGTATGTGTTTTCCAGTGCTCAAGAACAGGAGGCTTCCACGTAACTCTGGGAAAAGGGATCTTGAGGAAGAACGGTCTCCCACGGGACACCGCCCCCCAGGACCAGACATAACCAGGGTCCAGCATGACACCCATCTGGTAAAAAGCCCTTTCATCCTCTACGAGCTCTACAGTGCAGATGGAGGCCTGGACAAGGCCATGGAGGAATCTCACGGGCAGAGGACAACGATGCATGCACAGGAGCACGAGAGCTGGCCTTCCCCGGGTTCAAGAAAAGAAAACTCAGGGGAGTTTCACTTAGTGACTCCAAGCCCCTTCAGAGGAGGACAGAAAACCTTTTAAGATCTGTCTTCCAGCACTAGGCCTGGTGGCCCATGCCTTTAATCCTGGCACTCGGGAGGTAGAGGCAGGTGGAGCTCTGAGTTGTAGGCCACCTTGGTCTACAGAGCGAGTTTGAGGACAGCCAGGGCTACACAGAGAAACCCTCAAAAAGAAGAAAAATAGGTTCACCTTGAAAGAGAACTTCTAACCCTGAAGCTGGTATCTCAATTACCAACCCGCTCTCTGGTGACCTTTTTCTTATGTGAAGCCCTCCCTTATGCGTGAAAGTCACAGTTTCTCCCGACCCTGCAAACAGCGTGGTGGGGGGGGGGGACAGGGGTGGGAAGTGAACCATTTCCTCCATTTACAGGGTGGCAAGGTGAAGTGCCACCTTATGCTGTACCAGGAAGAGAAGGTCTTGCTCCAAGATGTCAGAGGTGTGCAGGGCTCTGGTATAAACAGGGTAGAAGTGGTAAGAACAACAGACACTGGGGGCTTATGAGCCAGGTGTGAGCTCAGAGGGAAACACTGAGTTTGGACTGTAGAAAAACAGCAGTGATGTTTCTTGGTTACCAAATTTGTAGAATCATATTAGTTTCCAAGGTATCCAGGGACCAAGGTGACTTCATGTACATACTTAAATAAGCTTTATTTGCATGTTTATGATACTTAAACATTGCTTCTTTTAAAAATCCACTGTTGTCCAAATGACCTACAGGAGGGTGGTAAGATAGACTTGTTCCATGCAACTTTCCACACGGTCCTATTATCCGGGAGGAGTGACCCAAGACATCCAGTGGATACTTGAAACCCAGGTAACCGCAATCTGTTTTTTCCTATACATACCTATAATAAAAGTTCGATTTAGTTTCTTTTGACTTTTACTTTTTATGTGTCTGGGTGTTTTGCCTGTATATGTCTGTGCAACATACGCACACCTGGTGTGGAACTCCGGAACTAGAGTTACAGTCTGCTGTGAGTCACCATGTGGGTGCTGGGAATTAAAGCCAGGTCCCCTGGAAGAGCAACCAGTGCTCTTAACTGCTGAGCCATCTCTCCAGGTCTGTATTATATACAGTGACCATTCATAAGTTAGGCATAGTAAGACACCAACAACGATAACAATAAAACTGAATGACTACAACACATTGTTACAAAAGCAGGTGCATGCTGCCCCAGCTGAGGAAGGGGGATGTTTTCCAACCCTGGAGCTTGAGGCAAGCCTGAACAATACAGAAAGACCCAATCTGAAACTCAAAAAGCCTGTGGTTTCTCTCCTGCACTATGGTACCACACTACATGTTGCATGAAGGAACAGTTCATGGACTAGCATGATGGCAGACTTCACTGCACTAGATGTCTCCATGCAGAAGAAAGTACAATTTAAAACTTGGAGTTTATTTATTTTGGAATGAATTTTCCATTTACTATTTTCAGTGGACCACGGTGGACCCTAGCAGACTAAAAGAGTGGAAAGCTAAGCCGTAAACACAGGGGACTCTAGAGTATGGACTGTGTCTACAGGAAGCAAGGAAGCATTAACTCCACATCAGACACCACAGATTTCACAGGATCTTAAGGTCTAAGATGGGACAGAGACATAACTGACGGCTAATGCCAGCTGCTCACGAGCTGGGTGAACAACATGCTACCTCCATTTCTTCACTGTTCCTGTTTGAAAGTGAGAATGAAATGCCACCTGGGTGTTCAGTAAACAGTTATGATCGTCATCATCCTTCATGCCCCTGGCCATGCCAATTGTCTAGATTACAAAGGTCCTGTTCCTTGAGGAGGAAGAGGAGGACTGAAAACAGTCGAGAATGGAACATCCAGAGCTCCGGGCTCTGGCTGACCCGCGAGTCTCTGCCCCACAGTGCTAGGCCCTGGCGTTCCTAGTGCAGTGTGGGCTTACAGAAAGGCTTCATCTCCCTGAGCAAGACAGCAGGGGAAGTCACTTCCAGGGGGCTCCTTTTCCTGGTGTTGGGGGAGGATGTTCAAGGGTCCACTGGCACGGAGGCTTCTCATGGAGTCACTGACACACACACGCTTGGTTCCTTGTCCTGCTTCTTGAAGGAGAGTGTAGGGCTAGGCTAGATAAAAGAAATACCTCTTCGGCATGTGCCTGGGTGACAACGGATCTCATCACTTGATATCAATGACATATAAGACCATTTCTTCAAGCTCCATTGCATTTTTTTAAGATTAAAAAAATATGTGTATGTGTGTGTTCTTCTGTGAGTTTATGTGCATAACAGGTGTGCAGGTGCCAGAAGAAGGCACCGGATCCCCTGGGGCTGGAGTTACAAGCAACTGTGAACTGCTGTGTGGATTCCTAAAACCAAACCCTAGCCCTCGAAAAGCTGCAAAGGCTCTGAACCACGGAGCCATCTCTCCATGCATCCTGCACTGCATTTTCTCCTCCCCCCAAACCCAAGGACCAAGTCCTCATGCAAGTTTACGAAACCCACATTCTATGTCATGTGGCCTTCAGTTCTCACAGAGCATCAGGCCCCTTCAGCCAATACAGCAACATTACGAAGAAGGAGCCTTCGTGTGCTCAAAACTCAGACCCCTACAGCCAATAGAGCACACTACAGAGAACTCTTGTGTGCTCAAAATTGCCCTTGTAGCTGAGGAGTGTTGAGAACGAGAGAAATCGTCTTCCTCGGGGATTAGATAAACCACCAACTGGCTATCTAATACCAAATGGTCAACATACACACAAGTTATACCATGCAGACAGAGCAGGTTGTATTTATATTTTTAGAAATATACACATATATGTATAAGATAATGAAACAATACTGAATTTGCAGGAGAACAAGGAGGGGTATATGGAAGGGTTTGGAGGAAGGAAAGGGAAGGGGATTTATAATTATGTAATTATATTATGAGCTCAAAAAAATTAAAAGAAATATTTTTTTAAACGCACCAAAATGGAGTGGTCACAACCTGGTGCGTGAATGGCTGGGATGGCATGGCTGTGAAGTGGCACAGTGCCACCGACGATGCCTGCTGTTGCTTTTCTGAGCAGTCACGGGTCTTTGAAATACTAGCTAATGAGTCCCTCGATTCCATACACATACTCATTTGTGCTCCGTGGAAAATACCGGACGGTGGGAATGGTGGAGATCAGAGGTGGTGGGGCCGAGGGCAGCTATGTCTGGAATCTGATCCTAGTCTGACTGAGGGCGTCAGGGAAGAAAACACTCCTGGATGGAAATCGAATCTGGCCACGGTTGCTACTGCAGGAATTGAATGCATCTCCACACAGCACGCTGCCGAGGCCAAGGCAGTGAGGAGGACTGTTTTTGTGATTAGCTCACCGTAATGTTTCTGCCATTAGCAATGATAAGGTCGCCAGCACCAGTTAGCAACATGGCTTCCTCTTTCGGTTTCTGGAGACTGCTCTAAAGGAAAGAACCGTCAATGGACACACTTGTGACTTCCACCTGCTTCTTCGGCCACAAAACCAATTGCAGCTGTGCCACGGCAGAGGGAAGTTTGGCGCCCCCTGGGGGTGGAATCCCTACACAGCAAGAACCATGCGCTCTGATGAAACAGTAGAAAAGGGGGGACTCTGTAGTGATCACTAGTTCAGATAGAGATTTTTAGAGGGACTATGGAAACACTGTACTCAAACATCTCTTCATTCTCCCTCCCCGTTCTCTACATAGCCAGAGTTAATTTTCTCCTGTTAAGAATTCATTTTCAGGAGAAAGTCTGGTTTCATTTTCTGACGGGCTTATGCAAAAACTTCCAAATCAAAATAAGATGACTCCAGCTTTTCAGGCTGGAAACTATGAAACTTTTTTTCCAGAGAAATAGATCCCCGCCCCCAGCAACATTTTGGCAGACACAAAACCTAATTAGAAAACCTTTGCTGTCTAGAAAGAACTGTC